GGCTCCATTAATTTTTATTTTTTTTTTCATTTTTCTCTCTTTTATGTTCAGTCGCAAAATTTTCCATAAAATAATATTATACGTAAATAAAAAAATATTAAATCGACTGGATATTGAACAATAAAAAAAGATTCGATTAATTACATGATTTAATTATATCTCATATAATTATCATCAAATACGTACTTTATATGTAAAATAACCACTCAAACTAAAATAATGTTTGATATATAAACTATGAGCTCCAATAAATTAGGTTTTTAATCCATGCATCAAGGGAACATTTATCTTATTATCAGAAAATACATTTCAATTACAGCAAAACAAAATTGAGGCCAACTAATTTTTCATCTTAATATTTTAACATTTGAAAAAAATTTATATATAAAAGAAATTTGATCATTTTTTGGAATTTTTTTCTTATTGTTACGTTTTCCTCTCAATCAAATAATTTTTTAAATAATCTAATAAAATTTTTGACGTTATTTAGAAAATTTCCTAATGAACTTTTTTCTTTTATGTCAAAAGTGTGTCATATATGAATATTACTTTTCCATTTATCATTTTAAACAATTAATCAAATTTGTAGATTTATTGAGAAAACTGAATATATATTTGGCACGTTAATAACTTAATATTATCTAAAAAATGACATAATGCACGGGTGGAAAACTCGTATGTATAAAAAGAGTAATATAATTTATATATCATTGATGATGTGGGTATATAAGTTAACTTTATTTTCTTTCCTTCTCTTTTTTGTTTCTCTATTTCTCTTTCATATCATCAATTGTACATCAATCCATGCACAATGATGTAAAAATAGCATTATTCATATAAAAAACAATGTATTTTGTACTAATCATCCTATTTTGTATCTTACTCATTAATTCAATAACATTCAAAATTTTTATTTTATTATTATAATATCATAATACTTTTGAGATATTTCAATACATATTTCTATTCCAAAAACATCAATGGAAACCTTTGTAAGTTTAGTTCAAAATTATAAAAGAAATAAACTCACTTAAAATCAAATTTTAGTATTCACTAAAATTATTTATACCAAATAATGGCGTGTCCATAACAAAAAATCTCGTGGACCAAAAATAACGGTATATTGAGAGGCTAATAATATATCCCAAATTTTATTTGTAGAATAACATAAAAAGAAATGAGCCAAAAGAATACACAAAGAAATGAGACTCAATGAGTGCCTAAAAAATAATTTCGACCAACATATTGTCAAAGAAAAATCACAATAATTCAAAAGATCAATTTCTTCTAAAGGCGAAATTTCTTGGCCGGATGAGGGCTCTCGACTTCGTCTTCACCTGAGCCAAATCCCGGCCAGAATTGTGGCAGCGCCGGCAGGTTCAAGTCAAAGTCCCGGTGAGTAACGGTGGACTGTACACGTTCTGATGATGCCATGGCGCTGCTGGCAGCTCCGCCACTGGCACCTCCTTCATAGTGGCGCCTTTTGTGGCCTCCCAAAGCCTGTCCGGTGGCGAAACACTTGTGGCAGATGGAGCACTTATGGGTCCTGCCACCACAAATAGTGGTGGTGGCGGAGGCAGGGGTTGTGGGGTGTTCTTGGCGTCCGCCACCATTGCCAGTTATCTTCCGATGGATCGTCTTGTGACCTCCCAAAGCTTGGTAAGAACCGAAAGCTTTGCCACATACCGAACACTCATACAAAACCGTCGTAGAATCTGGTGGCAGACGGGTTTCTGATTGCGATTTTTTCTGCAGTAGTTTCCCTGTTGTGGTGGTGCCGCCTTCACGAGCTAACATCATAAGGCAAATAGCTAAATGTTCTTCTTCAGTGGGTTCATTTTGTTTCACGTTCTGTGGTCGCCTTGATCGCTTACCCTTCAGCCACCGCCTAAAAGAGCTTAGGCCGGCTTTATCTAACTGAAATAACGGCCATGAAGTAGTCGGAGAATTCAATGCTTCAAGTGCCATATATAATAGAAATACAGTAAGAACTTAACCAAAATTTTCTGTTCTAGAAATACTGAGGATGGAGGATAAGCTGAATGAAGATCGTACTCGGATAGAGACGAGGTCAAATAAAAAGAATTCTAGTTAATGATCTACAATTTTTTAGAGCAAAGGGAAGAATTTGTTCTTGAGTGATTTTTTAAGAATAAGGGAAAAGGGAGTGTAAGGCTTATATAATTGGAGTAGATTGGGGGTGGAAGTTGCTTCACAAGTGTTAGGAAAGGGAAGGGAAGGTAATTACTTAGAGAAAAAGAAAAAGAAAACTATCATTTAAAAGATGTGGATTGAGGGGCACGTTTAGTTTCGAAGAATATTACTTGAGGTCCAAGTGGGAAGAAGTTGTTTGGAAAGAGTGGGTAGTGTGTGGGGTTTGAATTAATCTACTTGTACAAAGTTTGTTTACAAATTAAATGTTGGCAAAATTCATATCATTGATTTTCATTTATTTGAAAAGCCGTTTTTGAAATAATTGGTTTAAATGTTGTCAACATATAGTTTGTAAATCAAGCTTGTGAATCTAGTTTGTACAAATAGCGTGATTCGTGGTTCTTTAGGGTTCCAAGGGGAAAGGAAAAGATTGGGCAATTGAGTGAAGAGATGACTAGTCAATGTAAACTAAGCCCAAGTCATAACTCCTACGCGGTCTCAAACAGTGTACTCCATGAACTAATGCAAAATATAAATTAATGTTGGTCAATAGGTGTAAAATATTGAAATTATGTTATTGTCTGTACCCTTATTCTGTATTACATATCAAATATATCTTTAATATTTTTTTCGTGCACCATATCAAACAATATTGTGCAGATCAATGAACAATATTTCTACCTTTAGTACACATTTGTAATTCTTTATTAATTTGTCATGTACAATGACATTGTATATTCAATCATGTAAACCATACAAGCACTTCGATTTTGATGATTTTATTCGTACTATTTACGTACTTGCATTTCTTCAACATGTTCAAATATTTTGAACCATAGAATATTGCATGGAGGCATGTTTGGCTAAGTTTACTAATACTAAAAACAAGTTACTTATTTTTAAAATAAGCTTACTTTACTATCAAAACAAAATTATAACGGAATTTAAAATATTAAGAGCATGTATTGCTAAGAATAAAGAGTGTACTTATAAGTGATTTTTTTTTTTAATTCATCAAAACCAAAAATAAGCAAGCCACATAGTAAGGTTTTCAACGAGCTAGGTCGAGCCAGTTTAGGAGCCAAAGCTCGTGGCTCACACATAGTGCGGTTAAAAAAAAAAAAAAAAAAAAAAAGAGCTCGAGCTTTTTTAGCCCAAGTCAAGCCGAGCAAAAGCTCGGTCAAAATTTGGAGGCTTGACTTGGGCTTTTGGTTCGAGCTTCACCAGGTTGAGCCGAGCCTACTAAAGAATTTTTTTACTAATTCATGAAATATTCATATAAAGAAGTCGAACAAATTCTTATTCTTGACTAAAATATAATAAGAATATTCATATAGATACGAGAATATATTAATTAGAGTACAATTTTCATGTGTATAAATATCTTGATATTTACTTGTAGAATTAAAAATATTGAAATAGAAGATATCTTCTAAGTTTCAACACCACAAAATAACAAATAATATTACATTAACTCCTATATAATAAAATTTAAAATTTACATCAATAAAATATAACAGGAATACTATTGAATATGATAATAAATTATAGGGAAAATTGCAACAGCACTCCCAAACCTTTTCAATTTTTACAGACTTTACCTAAACTTTCATTGTGTGCCACCCATAGTCCCAAACAAAAATACGTACCTGAAATCCAAATGAATGGAAACCTTTATTGACTAGATTAGTCAAAATTTAATCAATTCTGACCAAACTAAAAAGGGCAAAATGTTATATTTACATTTTCCCAAATTATTAAACAATTATAAAAAATAAAAAAATAAAAAATTGCCTGACTTACCCCGTGAAGCCGCCTATTTTGAATCACTCAAACACGGACCAATCGTCGCTCAAACCATCGGATATTCATACAATCGGAAATCTCTCACCTCCCTCTTCACAACCTATCCATCCACTGGCCATAACTCTAACGATTTTGGCCGAAAATTTGACTTAAAATAGGCTGCCCATGCACTAAAAAATGACCGGAATCCTCACCTCTAGCAACACCCATACCAAGCCCACCCTCCAAGTAGACCAAGCACCTCAATACACGCCTACTGATACCCATGTAACATCAAACAAAGCTGTAAATCCAAATCTACAATCAATTCTTCAAACAGTGAACTCAAAACGTTTAAACATCAATTTCGACACCGACGATGCAACCCACGATCGCGGACCACTGTCCTAGGTCCGCCTCATTAAGGTGCATCTACTGGTATCATGGGTTATCATCAATTTTGCCTTAATGTGGACGAACTAGAATTGACAGTTCACGCATAGGAAATTCTAACTCATTCCCTTTCAATTGATGATTAAACAATGGTCCAAATCATCAATTCTAACACTCAACCCTCAATTAATGTTGGTATAACTATGGGTCATACTTCAATTCCACCACTCAACCAATCGAGCCAATTTCTAATTTGAATCCAAGAACATTTTTTTTTAATTGTTGTTATAATTGTTTAATAATTTGGAAAAATGTAAACATACCATTTTGCTCTTCCTAGTTTGATCAAAATTGATTAAATTTTGAAATTTTGACTAATCTGGTCAAATAACTATCAAAATTACATCCATTTGAACCTCAGGTGCATAATTTTGAAATGTTTGGGACTGTGGGTGACACAAAATAAAGGTTCGAATAAAGTCTGTAAAAATTGAAGAAGTTTGAGATCGCTGCTGCAATTTTTCCTAAAATATAAATGTAGATAGTTGTAGCATAATTATGAATATTAATTATGTAAGCATATTTATATATAAGTTATACTTTATTGATTTAAATCTTAAATTAAATAATAATAAAACCAAAAAAATTGAAGGTTGGTAATGAGTTGGGCTGAGCGTGTGACACAGGCCATTCTCAGAAGTTGGTTCGGGCTCAAGCCAATTCCCGAAATTTGGGCTTGACATGAGCCTTGGCTTGATTTTACTGAGTCCCAAGTCAAGCGCTCGAGCTATTTTCGAGTTGAATCACGGGTCGTCTGAGCTGACGGGCTCATTTGCTATCCCTACCACATTGCAACTAAATAAGAGTTATTTCCAAACATGTTTGAACGTAATTTTTACTTATTATTAAGCTTACCTAAATATACTATGAGGAAAAAAAAAATTACATAAACATATATTCGATTTGTTATTAAACATAGTCTCCAGACTCTCCACTTGGTATAATTTATGAATAATTTCGAAATTGTCAAATTTCATTTTTGACAACACATTCTAATGTATCCATAAGTGTTGTTCACTTATCCACAATTAATTTCTATTAATTTGTAGATAAAATCATTGAAAGTAGCAGCCAACAGCAACATAGGTATGGAAATCGAATAAATGTTACTCCGTGTTCATGAATACATACATATTCGGCTTCTTCCTCTCCCCATTTTTTTTTTCCATTGCAATTTGTTTAAGGGTAAATATACTTGCAGTAAACTTTTATAATTGCATGAGATTTTAATCGTACGAAAGTTCTATAGCTTTTACTCATTCTCGCACTTACGTCATCAAATTTTTTCATTACATTCTTATATCTTCCGTCAATTTGTACATGTTTTTTATGATGAAAAGTTTTCGTTTAAAAAATCCATTTAGAGATATTAAAATAATTTATTTGCTCCTTGTATTTTAAATAGGAAAAAAAAACAGAAAAAGAAGAAGAAGTATGAAATTACAATTAAATATTTGTCCCTCATTTAAAGTATGCTAACAGAATATTTAAATGAAAACATCATTAAGAACAGGGGCGGATCCAGACCTTTAGTATTGTGGGGTCAAAATTTTAAAAATAATTTTTTTAATAAACAACATAATATCAATAAAAATAAGTTTATATGTATTTTGACACTTTGAAAACGTCGTATAATTACATCATTATTAATATTATTAAATAAATTTTGTTACTTGTATAGTTTTGTTTATCATTTCATTGGCAAATACTGAGCTAAAATTGAGTAAATTAAATTGAATATAAAAATTAAATGAATTGAAATAAAATTCAAGTTTAGTTCAGGAAGTAAATGAAATTCAAATTTAAAGCAAATATAATTCGAAAGTAATTCAAATTGAATTTAATCCGTAAAGACCCTAAAAAATTTACGTCATATTTCGTGTAAGACTTCCGAATGAAACGATATAAATTATATTGAAAAATTTATTGTGCAAAAATAATAATTAATTGAATTTTTTAAAGGAAAAAA